CATTCTTTGGCTTATGCTAGTTATGTTTTGGAATCCAACCTAGTCTCTCCCTACCACCTGTATTGCATTTTACAATTATGTTGCAATCCCCCTCCCAAAAGCCTTGCAGCAGAACATTTTGTTCCAAAACAATGTTATTGCCTGGAAGGTAACCACAATCAGGAAGAAGTTCAATTTATCTCCCCACATTTCCTGATATCTCAAGCTTCATGGAAACCCAGTGTTTCCATAAGCCATGGAATATAAGGTGTATGGCCTCTGACACACTAAAGCCCTGGTAAAGGCAAATTCTCTGTTTCATCTGAACACTATGAAACCAAAACCTTTTTCCTGGGATAACCATTGAGTTCCATGTCCCTTCAATACAGCTGCTCTCTTACATAAAGTCCCTTTTCTCCGATGCTTCGAAAAGATTCCATCTCTCTCCAATTTGTCCTTTATGCAAGCAACATGCTTACTCCATTTCCGCTGTATATAAATACTGCAATCTGTTGTTCATACTACCATGGCTGAAACGCTTTTTATGAAATTGTGCAAGGACCTTCTAGAGGATGACCTGGGAGTCATGATTCTGGAAGGATGTTTGAAAGTTCACAAGTGCATCACCAATGAACAGTGGAGAGAGACTCAGTAGAAATTGATACCCGGCAACATGCCTGAAATGTAGGATCTCTAAGCTCTTGCTGTTCCACCACTTTTGGCTGTGTTCTCTGATCTCAATCTTCTGGAACCAAGTCATCACTCTCATTTATGGCATCAATGGACGGCTCATTCCCAAGATGCCTGTCTTATTATTGTTCAGTTATTATGCATCTGGACACATACATCCAGGTGAACGCAGTACTTTTATTTCCTAATTGTACCCACTTACTTCTTTTGGCAGCCTGCAAGAACATACTGAAGGTGTGTACTTCCTCTTCTCCACCTACAGTTACTGCAGTTAAAAAGAACCTCACAAAAATTCTTTACCGAGAGAAACTGGATTTCTAACTACTAAACTATACCCCTACCAATTGGTTCCTTACATGACGATGTTCCTATATTGAATATACTTCTCTCCTACAAAATCATGTCTTTAATGTAATCGTTCCAATATATGAAGTGGTTCCTTAAAGCCAGCTTGACCAACTCTCAAATTGAAAATCAAAGCCTTATGACATCCATTATTAAATTTGTCTGCCTATCAGTCTGGTTGCTTACTCTTTCCACCTGCAGGACCTAAGTTCTCAAGGAGGGCCAGCTGCTCCCTTTTCCCTCCTCCCCCCCTTTTTTATTTTTATCTCTTCAGATGTTAGGTTTAAAACTTTGGTTATATTTACATATTGACCCATATCTTTTATAATACTGTTATTTCTTTCTAACACAACCTCCTTTTGCTGAGAGTTATCCAACTTTTGTGCTAGTTTTCTCTCCACATTCTATATGAGAAAACGTATCACTCTGATTATGTGATATTCTATGTTGTAACGCCTGTTTTGCTCATAATGTATTCAGACATTTTAGATGTATCATTATTTCCTGTGATTGCTTTTCTATACTGTTAATCAAGTTTTATTTTACTTGACTTTGTTATATATGCCTCAAAGTCCTAATAAACATCTTTTTAAGAAAAAAAATTACCCCCATTAACTGAAAAAAGGATACTCTCTTTTTTTTTTCTTTAAAGGATAATATCAACAAAAGAATCCTAGTTTGTCTAACTCTCAACAAAATAAATAAATGTAATTTTTTAGCATCATAAAAACACAGTTATAGCCAAAACAATAGCCAAGTTATGAAAATAGGTCTGTCTGTAAGAGGCAAGCAGCTATGTGAGTTGAAGTGGTTAATGTTGTGCATATAGTAAGCACAAGTATCTGAAAATATCCTTAGCTGATGCCAAATGATCATTTATATTAAACATTGGAGGAAATAAGAATAAATTAATTTTCTTTACAGGTCAATAGCTTAAATAGATGTTCATAAACTTAATATACAACTATGAATTCTATCTATTAACTATAAATATTAACTTGATTAGTAGCAATTAGGCACGTTACATTGCATGTCTATTATTAAACATATGAGCACTAAAGCATAAGGACTACGAATATCCCAGTTTAAGTAATAGAGCAAGTTACGAACCTGTAGATTTTCAGAACCAGACCATTATGAGTATATAATTTTGCTTGTAAATTTGATTCTGCTGTCTTGAACTATTTTATTTCTATGCCCATACAATTTTATTATGATAATATTTTAGGTTTGATTGAGAAATACATGACATGTAATCACTTTTTTTTTTTTAATACAACTGGGAAATGTTCCAGAAAATGCGTGTTTACATTTTTTTATACTTCTATGGGTGATTAAATCGTTTTGTGATTTTTGTGTTTTATTTGTATCCTATATATATCTCATGCAAGTTCTGCTGTTGCTCAGCTATATGATAAACAGAAAACAATCAACTTTCTAGCAGAGTTAATCATCATCAGTGCCTCGAAAATTCAGCAATGATGACAAACAAGATTACATTTCATGACAAGAAAGTGATCATTGCAATTTAATATGGAATGAGTTATTTTTAATATTGTAAACAAGGGACCAGGGATATATTAATATTTCACAATCTTTAACAATCTGCATTAAGGAAATTTATAGTTTAAATGGAAATTCTCAATCTATTTTCAATTTCTTAATGCAGTAGCAATTTATATCTGATTCCCTAGGTTATGTTATGCATATTAAGTGAATTTCAATATACCAGCTACATGTCAGGCCTATGCTCATTTACTGTATATGGAAATATCTAATATAATGTTTGTATACTGAGACATGTAAAGCTTATTCACCCACCCAAAATTTTATATGGCTTTTGGATTATTCTTTTTAACTAATGAGTAAGAGTCTACATTATTTGTCTATTGTTAATATCTATATTCTTAAAGCTGAACTTTTGTTAAAGATAAAAATAATAGCCTGTTAAAAGATAAGCCCTGCACTTTTTTCCACTACTACACATCCTCAGTCTTCAGGGTTGAATGATGGCCAGCAACTTTCAGCCCATTTTCTCTGAATTCAGGCTGTCATAGACCCTCCCCCTACCTGTGAATGGACAGTGAAGGAGAAACAGCACAATAATACACTCCTCTCTCTGTCATGCTGCTTTCTCAATCTATCAGCATGCTCCTTGTCAGCACATGAACTGAGCTCCTTGTGCTGCTGCTTCTTCCTGTATACAGTTCAGCTGTACACAGACTACAAGAGGCTGGAACGAAATTGAGGTACTTACACATTAAAAAAAATATTAAAAACACATGTCATATAATTTAGTGCAGCACCGTGATTAGCCTTTATTTAGACTTGGGGTTGGATGACGGAAGGGGCATGTTTTTGCCACCTGCCAACTGCCCTCTTAAGCAACAGGCAATGGACAGGGATGTGTACATGCCCTGGCTGCACTGTTTCACCTAATATGTAGCAATCCGTGAGCAACAAGCTCCCCAAACGCTACACATTCAAGTAAATGGGGAAGTGATGCAAATGCCCCCCAACTGCGTGCAATGCACACAGTGCTTTTTTTTTTTTTTGCAAAATGTGGGTTAACCACATGCCGCCCAGCCACTGTAGAAATACGGCGGCAGGGCAGGCAAAACCACGTTTTAAAACATGTGTTTTGTAAACAGGTAGGGGACGCACGCGAGGTGCGCCGCCCTACCTGTCCCGCCGATCACAGCCGCGGATGTCAGTCGCCGGGTCACAGCCGATCATTACCGGCTATGTCCCGGCGATCGGCGGCAATAGCTGACAGAGAGCACAGCTGCAGTAGCTGTGCTTTCTGTCAGTTCCCTGACAGCTCCAGGACAAGCTGATCGAGACAGAAGAGTTTCTCTCTCCCGATCAGCGGTGTCCCGTGCAGTACACACCCCCGCCCCCTAGTAAAACACCCCCCCTCACACAGATAACCCCTCCTGAAAAATACATTTTGGCCTAAATTTATAACCAACTTTGAGTTTACTATATATTTTTTATAGCTGAAATTAAAAAATATTGTTTTTCTTCAAAATGTTTGGCCCTTTTTTTTGTTTATAGCGTGAAAAATAAAAAGCGCACAGGTGATAAAATACCACCGAAAGAAATCTCTATTTGTGTGAAAAAAAGGACGTAAATTTCGTTTGGGTGCAGCGTTGCATGACCACGCAATTATCAGTTGAATTAGTGCAGCGCCGAGTAGCAAAAAGAGGCCTGGTCATTAAGGGGGGTAAATCCTCTAGAAGTCAAGTGGTTAAAACAGGCAGTGAGGAGGCATCACAGATCTTCTACCACCTATTAGTAGCCTCTGGAGTTCAATCCAAACTCATATTGGACTTCGGAGGGGAGAGGGATTTAAATATATGTCTACATAAACACGTTACATAAATCTAACCTAAGACTACTGATTTATACTTTATATTTGTGTTCTGTAGCAGGACAATGACAAACATGTAGCCAATGTCCTTAAGAACTATCTTTAGCATAAAGAAGAACAAAGAGTCCTGGAAGTGATGGTGTGGCCTCCACAGAGCCCTGATCCCAACATCATCACGTCTGTCTGGGATTACATGAAGAAACAGAAGGATTTGAGGCAGCCTACATCCACAGATCTGTAGATAGTTCTTAACCACCTCCCGCCAGCCATATAGTCCAATGACGGTGGTTCTCTCGTTCTGAGAGGACGTCATATGACGTCCTCCCATTCTCACCACGCATGCGCGGCTAAGGGAGCGCGCAGCCCGGCGATCGGTGGTGCGCTGTGTCCCTCGATCACCGATGACGGAAAGAGCCGAAGATGTCGGCTCAGTCATGTGATCAGCTGTGTCCAATCACAGCTGATCACATGTAAACAAGGAAATACCGGTTATCGGCATTTCTCTCCTCTCGAGCTGTCACGCTGACAGAGGAGAGGAGAGGAGAGCCGGTAATTGGCTTTCTGTGGAGGGAACATGTACACTGATCATCAGGGCACTGATGATAAGTGTGCCTTGATGATCAGTGTAGCCCCAGCAGTGCCACCTGTCAAAGTCCATCAGTGCCACCTGTCAGTGTCGATCAGTGTCACATCAATGCCACATATCAGTGCATACCAGTGCACATCAATGCCACATATCAGTGCCCATCTGAGCTGCCTTTCAGTGTCATCCATCAGTGCCACCTATCAGTGTGCATCATCAGTGCCACCTATCCGTGCCAGTCAGTGCCGCCTAACAGTGCCAGGCAGTGCCGCCTATCAGTGCCAGTCAGTGCCGCCTAACAGTGCCATATATCAGTGCCATGTATCAGTGCTGCCTTTTAGTGCCCATCAGTGATGCCTGTCAATGCCCATCAGGGCCACCTACCAGTGCCTCCTCATCAGTGCCCATCAGTGCCACCTATCAGTGTCCATCAGTGAAGCCTATCAGTGCCCATCACTGTAGCCTCATTAACGCACATCAGTAAAGGAGAAAAATCACTTATTTACAAAATTTTATAACAAAAACTAAGAAAAAACATTTTTTTTTTTCTAAATGTTCAGTTGTTTTTGGTTTGTTTAAGAAAAAATAAAAAACACAGAGGTGATTAAATACCACCAAAATAAATCTCTATCTGATCCAAAAAAATGATAAGCATTTCATATGGGTACAGTGTTGCATGACCGCGCAATTGTCATTCAAAGTGCGACAGAGCTGAGAGCTGGAAATTGGCCTGGGCAGGAAGAGGGTATAAGTGCCCTGTAGGCTAGTGGTTGAAGATGTTTGGAACAACTTACCTGCCGAGTTCCTTAACAAACTGTGGTCAAATGTTCATCAAGTATTGATGTTGTTTTGAAGGTGGTTACACCAAATATTGATTTGATTTGGATTTCTCTTTTGTTCATTTACTTTCCTTTTTTTAATTGATAAAAATAAACTATTAACTCTTCTATTTCTGAAAGCATTCTTTTTTTTCCAATAAAAACTTTTATTGAATTTTCAGAAATATAAGAAAGGTTGTAACAAGATACGCAAAATACAAAAAGCAAAAAGAAGACTCCAAGGGGTCTTAACAAAAGACAAAATTATACAGTTCTGTATAACGGGAGTTTGGTACATTAAAATATGTTACATAGTCTACACAAAACTCATAGTATAAGTAGAATATGGAACTGAAGAAATGTGGGGGATAGAACATTATCTTAGATTGTAAGCTCCAAGAAGCAGCGCCCTCCTAACCTTCTTGTATTGAACTGTATTGTTGCTGTATTGTCTCCCTTAAATTTGTAAAGCGCTGAGCAAACTGTTGGCGCTATATAATTCTTGTATAATAATAATATAATAATTATGAATAGCTAAAATAATTAATCATTCTTATCTAGATAGAATTTATACTTGGAAAAGAAGTTACAAAAAAAGAGGGTGGGGGTAGCAGAATGTATTTATGTATAAAGAAAGAACAAAATGGTCAGCATCAGCTATGACCAGAATTGAAGGTCAACAAATATTATATCTGCAAATGTCTGTGATCTCATTGTCTGGGCTAACTCATTCAAGTACCTATTAGCCTGTTATCAGCATTAGAGTAAGTGAAAATAAAGCAAGCCTTCCAAGTTTTGTGGTATCCAGTCAGGTGGTCATTTGATATAGCTATAATTTCCTCCACATGGTGCATGTTATCTACTTCATGTACCCAGTCTCTCATTAAAGGAGTTTGAGTTGTTTTCCAAAATTTAGGGATCAAAGATTTGGCAGCATTAAGCAAATGTTTTGTCAAGGAATTTTTATAACTCTTATATGAGACTGTAGAGATGAGCAGTAAACAGCAGGCTGCATTTATTGTCTTTACAACTTACCTTTTCTTGGAGCGGGTCCGGTGTCACCCCGTATAGGTTGCATGCCGCCGATCCTGCGGGGATCATTGGCATGCGACCTATAGGGGGTGACACCAGTGTAGCGGCAAGATGTGTCTCCCATGTAGATATGTCCCCCCTGAAGCAACTGTGTATGTCCCTGTTTCAGACATAAGAAGCCGATCGCCGATCACCAACTGTAGAAACCGGGACATGCGCAGTTGCTTCAGGAGGGACATATCTACATGGGAGATGCATCTTGCCGCTACACCGGAGTCCGATCCATTATGCTCAATCCACAGATCCGATCCATTCTGCGTGGTTCGTCGGAGGGGGTGTCACCAAATGTTACTGCAGCGGGTGACACCAACCCTAGGGACGCCTCTGCAATAGAGTGCCCCTATTGCTGCAACCTCTCCAACAAATATCTGTAATCTGGGGACACCATCTATTTATTTTTTCAGGTGTGGCATAACAATGTGTAAGTACACTGCTCAAAAAAATTCAAGGAACACTTTTTAATCAGAGTATAGCATCAAGTCAATTAAACTCCTGAGATATTGATCTGGTCAGTTAAGTAGCAGAGGGAGTTGGTAATCAGTTTCAGCTGCTTTGATGTTAATGAAATTAACTACAGGTGTACTAGATGGGCAACAATGAGACAAACCCCAAATCAGGAATGGTTTTACAGGTGGAGGCCACTGGCATTTTTACCCCTACTCATTTCACTAGTTTTGCATTTGGCTAGGGTCAGTGTCACTACTGGTAGCATGAGGCGATACCTGGACCCTACAGAGGTTACTCAGGCAGTCATTGCCAAAAGGTTTCCTGTGACTCCCAGCACAGTCTCTAGAGCATGGAGGAGACTCCAGGAGACAGGAAGTTACTCTAGGAGAGCTGGACAGGGCTGTAGAAGGTCCTTAACCCATCAGCAGGACCGGTATCTGCTCCTTTGTGCAAGGAGGAACAGCATGAGCACTGCCAGAGCCCTAGAAAATGATCTCCAGCAGGCTACTGGTGTGAATGTTTCTGACTAAACAATCAGAAACAGACTTCATGAGGGTGGCCTGAGGGCCTGACATCCTTAGGGGCCCTGTGCTCAACATAGAGCTCGACTGGTATTTGCCATTGGACACCATAATTGGCAGGTCCACCACTGGCACCCTGTGCTTTGCACAGATGAGTGCAAGTTCACCCTGAGCATATGTGACGGACATGAAAGGATCTGGAGAAGCTGTGGAGAACGTTATGCTGCCTGTAATATCATTCAGCATAACCATTTAGGTGGTGGGTCAGTAATGATCTGAGGATGCATATCCATGGAGGGACACACAGACCTCTACAGGCTAGACAATGGCACCCTAACTGCCATTAGGTATCGGGATGAAATTCTTGGACCCATTGTCAGTCCCTACGCTGGTGAAGTGGGTCCTGGGTTTTCTCCTGGTGTACCACAATGTCCGGCCTCATGTGGTGAGAGTAAGCAGGAAGTTCCTGGAGGATGAAGGAATTGGTCCCCATGCTAATTTGACCTAAATCCAAAAAACACATCTGGGATATCATGTTTCAGTCCATCCGACCCAGAGTGGTTTCACCTTAGACTGTCCAAGAGCTCAGTGATGCCCTGGTCCAGATCTGGGAGGAAATACCCCAGGACACCGTCTGTCATCTCATTAGGAGCATGCCCGGACATTGGAATGCATGCATACAAGCACATGGGGCCATACAAACTACTGAGTACCATTCTGAGTTGCTGCAATGACATTTCAGCAAAATGGACTAGCCTGCTGCATTATTATTTCACTTTGATCTTTGGGGTGTCTTTGAATTTAGTTCTCTGTAAGTTGATAATTTTCATTTCCATCAAACGACGGGGCATCCTTACGTTCCTAACACATTACTGCAGATATCCAACATGATATTTTTCCCCATTGAGATCTGATGTGTTTTCAAAGTGTTCCTTTAATTCTTTTGAGCAGTGTATTTTGAATGACATCTCTTGCAGTCTTGTACTAAAGCACCATTTATGTGCTATGTGTGCATTCAGTTTGCCATTGTTCCTCTGAAAAGTTTTCGTCCAGAGATTTTTCCCATAAACTTTTACAGTTATCCTGCTTCTCATTGGTGTTTAATAGGAGCCATGAGTAAGCCAAGGATGTTGTTTTCTTAGTTTCAGAGCCTCTGAGACATATTACCTCTAATTGAGTAAGGGGATTAGAAAAGAAAAATCTTTGTTTGTGGTTAGAAAGGTAATCTCTTAGTTGGTGGTAGGTCCAAAAAGGTACTATGTTGTCAGCACAACTGTTTTTCGAATGCTCTCAAGATAGTATTCCATTTACTATAAAACAGTGAGTGATGGAAGACCTTTAGTCGGGTGTGGTATTATGTTAGTGTGTAAGCCCAGTGGAAACTCTGGGTTATCAGCTAAAGATGTTAATGGGCCTGGTATCCTTGCCAGGTAACAGAATCGTGTAAGCTTATGAAAAACCTGTAAGGTGGCTCCTATGATTGGGTGTCGAATGATCTGTTTAGGATAAAAGGATTTACCTATCCAAGGTAAAAACTTAAGGGGAAGACATATCGAGGAGTTTTCTATAGTTATACAGTCTTTATTACATCCATCACAGTGCCAATCTATCACTCTGGCCAAATGTGTTGCGTAGTAATAAAGTTTGAAGTCAGGAAGACCCATACCACACACTTTTTTAGATCTGGTGATCAAATAAAACTGCATACAAGGTTTTTTGTGGGCCCAAACGAATTGTCTTTGAATTTGTTGCAATTATTTTGAAGAACTGGAAGGCAGTTTGATAGGTAAAGCATGCATGCAGTATAGCAATCTTGGTAAGACTGTCATTTTTATAATTGCTGCTCTGCCAAACCAAGAAACATTTTTTGAATTCCAATTCTTAAAGTCTTGTTCTATGCTTTTGAGAAGGGTAGAAAAATTGTGGGTGTAAAGGTTCTCTAATAAAGGGCAGCCAAATACCTAGGAATTTCAAAGCCTTCTGTTCCCATCAGAAAGTACAGATTTGTTGAATGGACTTTAATATTTCTGGGGAGAGTGTAAGCTTGAGTGCCTCTGACTTGCTATAATTCACTTTGAAGTTTGATAGGTATTCCAAAAGTGTGGAAGGTTTGCAAAAGACATATCTGGTAGTGGCAAAAAAAGTAAGAGATCATCTGCATAAGCAGCAATTTTATACTCTCTCCCCTAAATATAAAATCCTTGTATAGACTTGTTTTGCTTTATTAAAGGTTCTAGCGATAGAATAAAAATCAATGGGGAAAGGGGGTATCCCTGTCTTTTTGATAATAATCTTGTCTGAGAGAACTCCATTTATTTAATTTGCACAGTAGGTGATTTGTACATAGTGACAATCCAAGATAACATCTTATGTTTCAAGCCTATATGGTTGCACTGCAAACATATAATCTCATGCGCCCCTGTTGAAGGCCTTCTCTGCATCAGTAAACAAGAGAAGACCCTCATTTTTTTCTAATTTAGCCCTGTGGATCAAGTTAAGTGTTTTGCTGATGTTATCTCTGGCCTCCCTACCAGGCATGAGTCCAACTTGCTCTGGTCTGATTATCTCACCCAACAGAGGCCGTAAGCGATTTGCAATCAATTT